GCTTCAGCACTGGCATGAGTCAGCACTGGCAGCTCCCCAGGTCGCTGCAGAGCGGAACCTGAGGGAAGAGCCCAGACTGTTTCAAGACACCTGGAAGTGTCTATATGAATACTGCACAGCAAAAATCATTCGGTGCTGATGGGGAGCGAAGCTTTGCATTTCCAGGTCACCAGCTGTAAGCAGCTGGATGCTGCAGGAACCTGTTGGGAATAGCTTCCTGCCGAGGAGCCTGCCGAGTCCGACTGCTGCCTTGCAGGGCGACCAACCCTCCGCCAACGCCTACGGTACGCACCTGGCTGCGCGAGGACGCTGCGCTCCTTCTGGGCCTGAATCTCTAACAGTGAGCTCTGTAATACCGAGGGCCTTTATGGCATCCAGCTTTCCAGTCTCCAGCCTAATACGGTGGTAATAGCATATATGTATTTTACTCCATAGTGGCAGTGGGCAACGTATTCAAGAGCTGATGGATACTGGCTGAGTGCAGTGCCGGTGCAGTAGGTAACACTGATCGAAGCCTTTAAGCCCCCCTTGCTCCAAATCAGTGTGCTTGATTTTTTTTCTGCTACAAAGTGTTGTGGGCTTTAATAGCAAAAAAAAAAATATTGTAGAATTCTTTATTTTCCTTCCAAAATATTACTATCTGTCATCATACATATTAGCCAAGTGTAACTGAATGCTCTGTTTTCTGTGAGTCCACTACATCTTCTTTCCTAACTGACAGCTGCATTATTTCAACAGCAGAAGGCTTTTCAGCAGCAGGACAATTTTCCGCAAGAACTGAATTTGAAAAGCTTTTTTAAAATAACTTCTACCACAGTAATACCATAAATAAACTCTCTTCACTAGGTGTGCTTAGGTTTTCCAACGCTAACATCTAACAGCATCTCAGGAGAAACATTTTTGAATGCTCATGTGGCTATTTACACTGACTAAATGCGATAGCTTTATTTCTTAGGTCATCAAAAAAGTTAAGGAAAACACCCTCCCAGCCCCACAAACGCAGTGCCCTGGATGCAGCACACCTTGGGCTGCCTGATTCCATTCGAAGGGACCTGGGATAGCTGCAGGGCAGCACTGAGGGCGAGCTCTGTTGCTCCCTAGGGTTACCGCTGAATTTGAGACTGAACAGAAAGGATTTACAGAAATTTAATAAAAAAGGAACACTGATTAATAAGTTGCAAAAGTAATGGATTCAATCATGAATTAGAATGGTAAGTCAAAACTAAGTTCTGTTTAAAAAAGAAAAAGAAGAAAGTGCCACTAAATCTTCATTGTACCCAGTCAATGTGCTAAAAGCGCTGCTACTGGTGCAGTGCCCTTCTCCGCAGCTCCGGACACTGGATTACCACCGGCATGCCCCTCATCCCCCGTCACTCTAAAAGCTCTGCTTCTCCTCTGTTTCCCACCGAAGTCTCCACCGAGAGGTGCATGGCTCTGTCCCGGCCCGCCGAGCGCAATGCTGGGACCAGCCCTGGCTCGTTGCGAGCAATGCTGGGGCCGTTTCACGGGGAAGGAGGGCAGAAACCTCCCCAGCAGTTTCTGAGAGGAGCAAATGTGCAGATCTGACCTCCTCACCATCGTCCAGCGTCACAGTTCCCTTCTGCTTCGCCTCCCACGCTCGACCTAACTCGGACAGGAACCCTCCGTTAACTCAATCTTACTGGAGATGACAAGTGTGACTAAATACAAATACTCATGTAAAGGAAGTCTTCAGTTAAGTCTCTGTAAAATAGTGTCTCAAAGAACATTTTCACTAGTTTGTTAACTAAGTGATAAAAAAATGACAAGGTGAAAGATGAGTTAATAATTTAAGCTAATACTTCTCATTTCTATTAAATTGTTGAACTATACATAATCCTTATTTTCAGTAAACTGTAATTTCTAGCTAGTAAAAAATACTTCAAAACAAGCTGTACCAGAAAAGCCCGTGTAATTCAAGAGGGAATACAAAAATTTTGAAAGTGATGAAGGCATAAACCAAAACACGAAATGAAAATGAGCATCCAAAACAGCAAAATATATTTAAGCAATATCACAAATACACAAAAAAATCTATTTACAGACCCAGTAAAAATCCTCCCCCAAAAAGGTACTTATAAACAAGAAATTCAAAGCAGTTACACTGTCTACTGCTGGCAACAGAGATGCTTTACTGCTAGCATAGCACTAATTATGCCTTTGCAAAATTAAGGGAAAACTTAATAAAGGTGAAGAAATTCTTTCTGGGAAAAACTTGAACTGAAGGTCGGACGACAACAACAACTGCAAGGCATACAGAGAGTAAGGAACCACAAACACATAACTCGTAGTGCAAAAATGAAGAATGGCTTTTTTCCCCAATACTTCTTCAGAGAAAAATACTATTGTGAATATGCAATTCCAATTCCTTTTGAAGAATTTGTAGGTCTTCGTGCATTTGCATGGTTCAGCAAGGCTGGTACTATACAGGAGGCAAATGAAACGAAGTCAACATAAAATTACTGTCATGATAGAAATTTATAACAATCTTTGTAACAAAATGTCTGAATATACACTACAGAGACAAGCCTCTAAGAAACAAATTTAGCTTCTCCCCATCCAGACAATCTGTAAGCATGTTATCGCTAAAGAAAAACAACTCACAAGTAAATGACAGCATATGTAACATTCTTTGGAAATAGATCTAAATTTCTCTTTCAAGTTTTGCCCCCATATTTCACACAGGGAATGCAGAGGGATAACTCCTCATTCCTCACTGGCATTAGGAGCTCTTGGTGCGTTGTCCCTCAGGGATGTGCCCTGGGCTGGGCAGAGACCGTGGAGGTGCGCGAGTGCCAGGAGCCAGAGAAGAACTCCACCTCCGCCTGGGAACACGGGCCACCATCAGACGCCTTGGTATCAGCCGGTGTAGCAGTGGGGAATTAATACCGTTGAATTCCTGAGGCTCATCATCCCACGCCCTGGGTTTTACTGTGTTTTGAAGCACACAAGGAAAGGCCTCACAGTTTTGAATGGCTGTAAACATTTCTTTTAGTTTAAATCGGCATTTTGACCACGCCTTTGCTGTTTAAAAAAATAACAAAATCAAAAGCAGGAATACCTTAGCTCATGTTAAAACTATTTCAAATTCAGAACACTAGTCGTCTTTAACTGAGAAAACTGAAAGAAACCTGCAAACACGTGACTAGTTTTGCAAATAATCCTCTCGCTATTTTTTTTAGCTGATTCTCATTTAATTTTCAACAAACTGTTAAAGATCACCCAACCTATCCTACAGAAAAATCTGAGAGTTTGATAAGTAAGCTGGAAACCATTTAAAAAACGGAGGCAAAAGATCAGTGCCAACTGTTGTTTGCTCTGCCCAGAGCCAGGCCTGAGTAAGGTACAGAGTAAGATTTATCCAGCATCATTTGTGAGAAGTGTCATGGTTGATATTCAAAGCTTTTCCAAAACAAAAAGCACTAACTTACTGACTTTCATACATGCACAGGGTGACTGCCAGGTTTTACAGTGCTGCTTTAAGGGGACTTTGTTAAAAAATTCTAGTGCTCTACTTGGAACAGTTTAGGATGCAATCAGACGAACTTTTACTGAAATAGCAGTCAAAATAACGGCAATTTTACAAACAAAATGACTGCCTTTATGCAATCTTTTTTTCTCTATACTCAAGGGTTGTTGACCAGAAATGGCTGAAAACGGCTTCTGAGAGGAGGCAGAGCTGCTTTTCTGCAACTTGACAGATGCTTGTTCAGCCTAACTTCAAGTATTCAATTGAGGTGCTTCAACGAGCCCAGGCTCCAGAGGATAACTTTGAACAGAAGTGCTCTAAGGTTAACTTAGCTGGCTAAAAAGTTCAAATGGAATAACAAAAACCCTTGACGGTAAAGACTTAAAGAGCTCCTAAAGTATTTCCAGGTATTCAAATAAAAATAATGAATAAGTTATAATTTAGATAAATATCAGCTAACGCCTAACATTTTTATTAAAACACTGACAGAAACCAAAAAAGTAAACTCTAGGACTGCTGGATTGCACACACGTATTCAGAAGAGCCACCACAAATTGTATCATTTTAGCTGCTTAGCTGTTTAACTGCCTATTTTCTGCACTTGAGCAAACAAGATCAGAAAACTATGCAGCTTCTCTGAGTGAAGAGGAAACGCCAGGACAGGATTTCTAGAGTCCCACCCAGCTCTCTAAATGGAAGGATTAAGATTAGGACATCGTGGCTGGGAGAACAGAGGAACACTCAGGATTCAGTCCTGTCCTAAGGGAATAAGCTATTCTTTCTGACAAACTTTGCTCGAGATTTTCATAGTCATCAGTCCAATCCTGTACTCAGCATTTTACAGAATCAAGGTCTTGGGCACAGCAAAGACATCAGATAAATGTGTAAAGCAAGGCAACATTTGTATTTCCATTTTTTTTATCTATGGACTATTTTCTTTGTTAAGCTCCTTGGGTACGTTTTTTTTTCTTTAGGGTAGCTTTTCAAAATAAAGACTAGTGAGCCTGGAAAAGACAGCACCACCCTAACGGGTGAGGGAAAAACTCTCCGTGCATTTTTTATTCCATATATGCATTAACTACTGGGAATATTTACCGGCAAGATACTGAATTTTGAAAGTAACACTCAAAGTTTTTAAAACTGCACTTCAGAAAACACTGTCCGAGCAGCATCAGAACATTACAGGGTTGTCAGATTTCCTTGTTTTCTGTGGCAAATTTCCACTGACGGCACTAGAGAACTGAGGCAAGGGCTGAAGATGTAAAAGCAAATAAAATTAAAGATTCTTGGTAGCTACTTACCTACAATGGCTATTCATTCTTCTATTTTTTTGGCTCAGTGCTGTTTCATAATACCCTTGACCCCACCATGTAATTTCAAGGACATATATATTGATTTTAATATTAGCTTGGTTCCTTTCCCGTATTTGAACCTTATAGAGGATATAAATGACAAATAAGCATGCTATAACATTCACAGGAGCTGCTGTCCATCAAACCGGTGACTCTGAAAGAAGGCTGCTTTAACTAACGCATATGAACATGCAAACTGTATCCAAAATGCACGGTCATATTAAATAAGTCTCTTACATATGTACATAAAGACCAGTTACAAAACTCAAATATCATAGTCTTACCCTCTTCTGTTTAAGATTGCAGTTTCTAACTGTTGCATATACTGTATCTGCTCAAAGAGCTGAATAAAGTGAGTGTAGCAGATTTTTGCAGAGAAAAATAGTCATATAAAAAGCTGTAAGTACAGTAAAGTGAGAAAGTTCCCAGAGCTCTCACTTCACATCCTCTTTGGTTCCTAACTAGGATTTGACGAGTTTGAAACCCTGTCCTGTGTCCAGCACTGTGGGAAGAAACCAACTCATTTTCAATCTTTTCAAGCACCTAAAGCACGCTTTACAGACCCAGAACAGATTGAGACCACAAAACCAGTTTGCCAAATGTACTAAGGGATAGGTGATACGCGGGAAGTATATCATCCAGTGCTTCGCAACATCGCTTCCCGTTGGCAAATGCAAAGTGTAGTCGCTCCAGTGTTTTGACACACCATACACTGCTTTCACTGTACGCCCCTTTTCAGACCAGCTGATGTTGTTGTCAGGGTTACAGTTGTACTCAACCCATTGCCTGGTGAAGTCACCAAGCTGTGGAGGGTCGGCTTCCTCGATGTCTACAACTCTGGCCATTTCTGCTCCTTGCACTGCAATATACTGGTCATTTACTTTTCTTACTTCTTTAACCCAAGGCTGAGAGTTCTCGCAGTCCAAAACGATGATGAGCCGAGAACAAAAAGTGCCATTCTTTTCTCTCCACCACTCCAGAAGTGTGTCAAGTCGTAAAGCATCACCTCCTGCCATAAGAGAAAAATATTTCAGATTAGCAGGAAGAAACTGAAACCTCTGTAGAATTTTGACTGCGGGTTCCAAGAATCCCTTATTTTAACAACCTGGACACACGTAACAGAAGTGTTCAACTGATCCTCCCTGCTTGTAGATGTTAAAAGATCTCCAGAGAGATATTAACTGATTCAACCTGACTTGTTATGGCAGATGAAGCCATTAAATTACCCTTGATTTAAAAAAAAAAAAAAGAAAAAAAAAAGAATTCCCTCACAGGGTGAAAGAAATTACAGCCTGTTGAAGAAATCTGGAAATGGCTAAACAAGGGAAGAAAACCTGAAATGGCAGTTTATTTTGTATGGAATTCTTAATAATCTTCAGGGAAAAAAGGACTCTTTTTAATATGTTTTTACTAATATTAAAAAGGACTCCTCTTTTAAGGAAAAGAGAGGACTTTTGAACACAACACATGCTAACAGTTTCGAAGCACAATGAGAAAGCCACCTATGAGCATAATCATCACTTCAGCTTGAAAAACTCACCTGACCAGAAATGGAGAGATGCACGCTACAGATACAGTTCTCTCCAGAGCTTCAAGAAAATTAAAACTGATATGGATTTACAACTCATTGAAAAACAAATTTCATAGGAATTTTTCTCCAATATTTATTTCCTATCAGCTCAGAAAACACTTCCGACTAGACTGTCCAATTTCTCATATTCCATCTGAGCTCCTGCTCCAACAATGCTTTGCAAGAGCAGACTGTAATTAAACAAAGTTACCTACAGTGAGGAGTCCTTCAGCTTAAGTGTAATGCATACTGCAGGATCTATGTAGCTTTAAAAAGCAGACTACTTACTGAAGTGCCTAAGGAAAACACCTCACAAACAAATGAATAAACCTCCATTGGCTCCACAGTGACTATTAATGTGAAGAACTGATATATCTAGGTGTTGGCAGGTTGGAGCTATGATACATATTTACAACAAGAACACCCTAGCTTGAAAATGTCAACTTCAAAACAAAAAATTAAGAAGATTTTTAGAAGCAAGGTAGAAAAATGTGATTTAAAATAACTGCATTTTAGTTCCATAGTGCATTTCATTGTAGATTATAAGCACGATTAGCAGTGTTTTAAATCTTGTTAGTAGGAATTTAACCGCACAGATGAATCTCAAACAAAATAGCTGCATATTTCAGCACCCACATTTCTGCCTATAAGGGGTGAGAAAAAAGTGCTTCAAAATAATAGCTCAAATTTAAACCTTTGAGAGTGCTACTGCGGTTGATGAAGTAAAAGCAAAATTACAGGGCTACAACTTTCTCAAACAAAATGCAAACCTGGAAAATTCAGTATCAAAGAAAATCTCAAGAACATACAAACCTACAGTAATGACTTCTCTTGGTACCTGACCCCCAAATTGCTGTAGTTCAGTGTGTTTACAGCAGAGACTTGTATAGAAGCAGTTTCCCTTTTCTAGGTAAGCCTTCTGTGCCAATTAGCAGCAAAAAATTATTTGTTCACATTTTAAAGGCTTATACACAAACTTTGGTTTAGTGTAACTATGCAGGGCTACAGGTGATTTCAAAACAGTACTGGATAGAACTGCCCGAAGAAAACAATCTCATCCTTTGTTGCAAACATGCATAAATGCATGCTCTGCTTGTAACCCTACTGACCTCAAACATGTGGAGTCATCGGCCAGTGCGAGATTTAGGCATCAAGCCGTTTAACAAACCTATCCGTCTGTCCACAGCGGGCTCCTTGGCAGGCTGCGCAGGCAGTTAAGCTGACAGTTTCAGCAACGGAGACGAAGCTTCATTAGCCCAGCTCTTGCCTTTGCCTTCACTCCGAGAACATGACCTCCCAGGTCGTCTGACTGCTCATACTTTATGCATGACTAGTTAAGAGTTTCTTTAAAACACCACTGTGTTAGATCTCAGCTTCCCACAGCAGAGAAACATCACCAGTGAACTAATATGTCCAGTAAGCCCCCTTTAAAAGATGTCATTACAAAGCAAGGACTGCAGTGCTCCTGCTGTGCCGTATCATGGCATAAACCGGCAGTGAGACACTGCTTTTTCTGTTCGATTGGAATGTTGTATTTCTTTGTTGCCATCTCTCTTCATCCTCTCCAGAGGCTGAAGGACAGTACGCATTACTGGAGCTGATGACCAAATGTTCCTTCTGTCACAAAACACCACTGTTCAATACATGTGGTACAATTACACTTCATCTTTCCAGTTTACACCTGAAGTTACATTCAGAACTAGTGCTACCTGGAAGGAGTGCCAGGTTACAACCCATGATTTACCTAAAATTAATCACAAAAAATGATGCAAGACTTGTGACAGCTGCCTGTTCCTCTCCTTTATGTGACTATATGTATCTCCAAGAAGCCGAAGATGTGCTTCAACAGAGAACTGAAAAGGAGCTTTGTGAGAAAGCTGAACACCACTGCATTTACACACTGTTATCTTTAAGCACAGAAACTTTCTTTTCATTTTAACAGTGATATTGTCCCTTTTCCTAAAAGTGAACACAGAGTTTAATTTAGGCTACAGCCACCTGAACAGGCAAACAGAGCTCCCCTCTCACAGTTCAGGCTGGCCAGACATAAGGCAGGACTGGGCTGGAAGCTGCCCAGTTTCTGCAGCAACATGTGGCTCCACGTATACCGTGTCTATGCTACCAGCTGGCGCATGGGTGGGAGGTAGAGTTCTGCTGCTCACCTGCTCCACATCATGCGTGGACACACTCAGCACCTGCCAGGGCAGCAGCCACTCTTACAGACAAACCACCCCATTCTCGGAGCAGTCGTCCAGCCACTCTGGCGTATCTGCATTACATCACTCTGCTAAGCTCAGAGTGCCGCTGCAGCTTTTCTGAATCACTGATACAGATGAAGCCTTTGAGAAAGAATACGCGTTGCTCTTCAGCAGTTCCAACAGTTCAGGGTGGAGTTGTACCAAAGCAGATACATGGCCTCCAGGTGAAAACTGACCTGCACCGGAACACCTCAGCACGACCACATGCAAAGCTAACGCCTGTTGAAGAGCACGTACCTCTGAAGAGAGACTGCTGAAAGACAGCCAGGAGCTCGCAGGCAGAGTGCTATCCAAGAGAATTAATTCTGTCCCAGGAAGGAAAAAAGTTGCAATTTTTCAGTGTATTTACTACAAGACTCATTTGTTGCACACAGCAACCTCAGAAGCCCATACAGCAAGAGAGCAAGGCTAAACCTACCAATGATTTGAAAACGTCAGTAAGTTTACTAAAGAACACAGTTGAGATAGGACTGTGCATTATAAAGAGATCAAAAACGGGCGAAGGGGAAACGGTGAAGTCTATGCCAAGCACATGACGAGGCATTAAACCAGCCCTTTACATAGGGGTTTCTACCCATGAGGCTACACTGTGCCCACAGTGACTCCCAAACTCCAGATGTCAGCAAACCATAGCTGTTTTCACGATATAAGGTTTGCTCTATGTTTGAAGATCTGCTTTTCTAGTGTGGATTGTATGTCTCCTATTTCTTTTATTGATTCTATCTTTCACAAAAAAACAGAGCACATCCTAAGGACATGAACGCAGTCCTTCATGACAGCCCAACCGACACAGTGACACAGAATGCTATAATTCATTCTGCCATGTCCAGGGAATGAGAAGGTATCAGTCTGAACAGTGAGCAAATATTCCTCAAAATACAGCCAGATCTGTCTTTAGAGCAGGAGGGGGTCATTTCCACTTTACTTTTCTGAGGAAAAAAGTGATCTTTAAAGTTCACTTGTTAAATTGTAAGGGGAATATGAAATCATGTTTAAACTTGTAAGCATACATTTGGGGTCAACAACATTTAGACAATTTTGAGAACAAGAGTAAGATTAGTTGGCTGCAAAAGGATTTTTATCAAAGTGACTAAATACTAAAATGATATAGAAGTTCCCAAAGTAACATACCTGACTGTCATACAAAGCAAGGTAAGGAAGGAGCTGCTTCTTTACAACAAGTTAACTGCATATGAAAGGGGCTTCTGCATTTCTCTATTCCCTCCACTAGCAGAGGTTGTCAGCCTGCTACCTTGCCTATTTTGATGATTCCTTGTAGCCCCTGAATCTCCTAATAGCCATGCTCTGTATATTATTACATTTTCCTTTCTCCCTTCCCTGCCAGAAGCTTGTATCAACCTCTTCTCCAAAGACTGCTGGTTCTCTGCCATTCTGGACTATCAGATAATAAATGTGACCAAAACTTCAAAGTTCTGCAATATTGTATGATTTTTCAAAGAACAAATTAATTGATTTGGAAAGTTTATCAGTACCAAGACTATTAATAAAAAAAATCCCCAAACCAGTTACCTGCCAGCGCCCATTCGCCAGTGCCATGCGAGTGACCACTGTAATATAAAATGTAGGTATCATGTCTGGGTCCATCTGCTGTCCGAAGTTCAAGAAATGACTTGATCTTGGAGTGCAGGGTATCAAAGGTCAGTCCGCTTGTGGAGTAGTCGCAACCATATGTCTCAATCATGTGATACGCAAAAAATCTTTGGATGGCATTAAGCATGCCAGTAGACCTCAGATTTAACTCTTGTACATGCTCAGGTGGAAGAAGAGTTGGTTGGCCATCAGGACTAAAGAGAAGAAACACAGCTATGATTATGATTTGTAATTTTTTCATCCTTAGTGGACTTGTAGCAATTCATGATGTTTTTCCCTGTGCATATTTTCTCTGCTATGAAGCAGCATTGTTCTAAATTCAAATTGACTTGAAATGTACAGTTTATAAGCAATTCAAAATACTGTATTTGGGTGGAGAACCACTATTTCCCCTCCCTTCTGTCCCACTTCTTCTCTTCGAAGTGTAGTCCTTACACAACCCCATGCTATTCCTGCAGCTGAGAGACAGAGGGAGAGAGAGAGGGGAGCTGTGATGTGCACATGCTGAGCTTCAATGACTTCATTAAGTGCCACAGCGAGCGCCCTGTGTTCAGACAGGCATTTGTTCACACACAACTGGAAAGAGCGGGGAGAATGAGTGTTAGTCTGCACAAAACATCACGCAAACTAGTTTCCAGTAACAGACTAAAAAGAAATTCAAGTACACATTCTGCTCAGATGTTTTGAATCCATTTCTCTGTTCCAAACTAGCTGTTGTTCAGTATGATACTCACACAAATACAGTAATTCTTGTGTGCGCTGCTCAGATGCTGATCTTTCAGCATAAGAAATAGGTTTCAGATGATGGTATTCACCGCTTAGAAAATGAAAGTTCTAAGAAAATTACCAACTAGACTTGGAACAAACTATGTATATAGATTGTATGTGTGTATAGATATATATATGAATATGCATATATAACAAAAGAGTCCCTGAGTTCCCTGGGCAACGGACAGATTTTGTGGATGAAAATATGGAGATGGTCTTACTCTACAAATATAAAATATGACTTCTGTTTTTTATATATATATTTCTGTATGTATGTACTCTTCAGGTATTTTGTTTGCAAGTCAGTGTGTAAAGCCACTTGCTTTCTTTTTTCATCCAGCTAATTCAATTTTGCACCTCCTCACCTGCCTAGTGCCTTCACGAAGGCTAACGTTCCACTGTTACAGCTATATTGAATACATCATCGTTACTGTTCGTCTCAGCAAGTGAAGCCTGGGCCCATTACTGAAAGAGTCAAGCTTTGTTAATAAGGAAGTTTAGTTCTGTCAGGTCCTATACAGTTGCTCAAGAGTAACTCATTCACTCAGAAGTTAGAGGGAACTGCCAGAACCAGAATAATAAAATACAACAAAAGAATTAAATTATTACCATGGAAACAAAAATAATTTATTTCTATTGTCGTGTAAACTTTGAAAATTTACCCTAACAGTAATTGACTACGTGGATTTTTTTAAAACGGTGCACAGCTGAAGACTGTAGAACCAAGCTCTGAAAATTTGTTTTTACCATAGTTTACACTATTTAAGATACAGTGATCTAAGATCAGCACACTATCTTCTGCTTCTTTGCTTGTTAATTTTTTCCCTATCCACTGAATCCATTACACATACTGCAAGCTGGGCAGTTTTCATAGATTGGGCAGTTCTATTTTTAAGCCTCTCATTTCAACTTACCACTCTGTTTCTCTTGTAACTCAAATAAATAACTTGCATAGCTCTTGTTCAGAGTTTACAAAAAAAAAGGGTACACACAGTTTTAACTATATGGCTAAAGTAGCATTTGCAAGTTGAAAGTTTATAAGAAAAACACACAAATGGGCAAATAATAATAGCACAATCCCCCATTCCCAAGCGTTTCTCATATGGTAACATTTATACTGGAACAAAAATCAGCTGTAAATTCACAATACTAATAACTGACATGTAGTCCACTCGCAAATCTAATGTCAATGTCCTTTCAATGTAGACACCACCTCATTTAATAGAATTTAGAATTATTTTAAATGATCTGTTTGGTTTATTAAATCTCCTGCTATAAAATATCTGCACTCAGTCAAATGCCCCAGTCTTCCTTTGCATGAGATATAAACTGTGGAATCTGCCTGTGCATGACTGGTGTGTAAAGCATTCACTAGCTTTCTAAAAGCAAATTAAATACATATACAAAGGTGCAGTTGGAGTTACTCGTTCTTTTTGGAAAGTGAGGAAAAGGAAAAATGCAAAATCCGCCTATTATTTAAATTTGTATGTAATTATTGGAAAATGCAAGCAACAGCACTGTATTGCCTCTAACAGTACACTTATACTACTGTGAAGTTGAAACACACGGGAACTATACCTGCAAAAGTTGGTGGGAATCACAACAGCATACCCAACACATGTTCCTCCCAAGCAGTTCCCCAGCTCATGGAAAAGCCCATGAGCCATGGACTCCAGAGGTAAAACGATGAGAAATGCACTCATGAAGATGCCATTGGTTGGCTAAAAAGAAAACAGAGAGATTTAGGTATTGCATGAAAAAATCCTTCCTATCTGTTAGTTACAGTTTTATGAGTAATTCCCTGTGTCTGATCAAACATAATTGGATCCTCGTGCAAGTTATTATAAGCTATATACGCTTTTCCACATATTACATGGTGAAGTACTCTAAAGACAAATGAAGGGCAAATTTGGGGGTTTTGGGGAAAAGGTGGCTGGTAAGCAGGGATCACTCTTCTGAAAGGAATGCATCTGAGAACGCTAACAGCACAGGACTTAGGTTTAAAAGCCCTGAACGTGGCTTAGCTTCACCCATTTAAGCAGGAAAATCAAATGCCACAGAACTATTTACGTGCATAAAATAAGTATATCTGTCAATATCTGCAGGATCAGGCCTTAATCAGTAAAGTACAACACAGAAAATTACATATCTAGCATCAGATGATAGCATAATATATTGCACCACTAAAACATAGATCTAACTATTCTTGCTTTTTAATGCCAAGAGTTCTTAAAATATTCTTTGTGGAATACTAAGTACCACACAAAAGACGACTTGTGAGAACATTTATGAGCATTATTGCAATTAAAAAGACAATTCTTCATGAGCTACATAAATATCATATGAGAAGGGATGTCCACTACAGGAATTTGTAGCATTCACACAGCTAATACCCTAAACTGAGCTTTCCTGTTTCGTAGGTAACAAGCAGTTTTGGGAAAGATTACGCTCACTGATAGTGGTTCTCAGCCACTAGCACTAGTAAAATAAAAATGCATTTCTGAAATGCCAGCTGTCAGTGAGAAGCAGAACAGACAGACTCGTTTTAGTTGTTTTAATATGATGTGAATGGGTTTAATGAGGCATTAAATACTTTAGGAAAGGTAGAAACAGTATTATAATATATAATTAACCAATAACTTTAATATCCATGGTACAGTTATTAATGTCTGTTATGTAGTAAAGGAAATAAATTCATAGTTATGGACTTCTGTCTTGAGAAGAGTCCTGCGGCCTCTGACTACATCTACGTTTTTTCACCCTCTTTGCATAAATCTACAATACTAACTTTTTTTTAAAATCTGGATATTGCCTTATTTTTTTAATATGCAGTGATTTGATGTGCATTGGTAGTTCAGCTTAACACATACACAAAGCTATTAACAATTTGGAAAGCAAATTACACTGAAAAAAATTACACATACACCAACTCAGTTCTTGTCGGCACATGGCTTTAACTCCACTATATTCAGTTTTAAACACATAACTATCACATGACTTAGTCTGAAAGAACAGCTTTACCCATCTAATGTGCTGCCTGCCCTAAGGACGTATACTGTTTGCTACCTGTCCCGGTTTTAAAAAGTGTCCCATTCTACTTCTGATAGAGGATTTTCACGTCTGTGTCCTTGAAATGGTGACAGCAATACTTCTACCCATAAATAAATACCAGAATCTGGTATCAAGTGATCACGAACTGATAGCACTATTCTCAAATAACGGGTAACTGTTAACTGATAGTGTTCTTCTCAAATTCCAACATCTGAAACCACTATAAAAGTATATCCAGCTACTACTACGCTTTACGTAATTCATAACAAATGAAAAGTTTATTTATTTAGCTTCTAGCTCTCAAGGGCATGAGGACACGACACCGAGCAGACATCAAGTCATGTTACAGAACAACCACAGAGAGCATTCCTTGCCCTCAGCCCTGCACACCTTATCCCAGAAGCGCAACTCATATGCTCATTGACTTGCTAACATTGGAGCTGCAAAGCTACTTCAGATAGAACAAGTCCACCAACAGGTGAGAATGCTGATCTTAATACTGCAATCTGATTTCATGTGGTATAACCTAATTTGACGTTCTGGCGCTAATAATTCGAAGCTACAAGGACCAATAAGTGCCTATGACGCGCACATACATTATGGGAGATTCACAATCACTTTCATGTAGGTAATTTTCTTTGCCATCTCAGGAGGTACTTTACATCATTCCAGATATATTCCTTTCCCTGTCCCACTCTTGCCTACACTCAGAGGGTCAGGATCAATGAGCGAGCAGATGGAATGTATTCAGGAGGAGTGCCAAGAAGGACTCACATAGTGATTCTTGCATTTTGTGTCAGAGAGATTTTCAGAATAATTTCCCCCAAATCCATAAAACTACCTGAAACAACCAGAGGACAGGAAAGCTTAGAACAGTGTAACAATTATGGCGCAACCTCAACTGCTTTTATTGTCAGTAAGAAAAATCCTGTAACTAAGACAATATAATTTTTATTCCAAATGTACGAGCAGAAACTGCTGTTTTTGTTGCTCAGTTTCTAAAATGCACTCTGGAAATGAAGAGGAGCAGCAGCAATAAAAACTTCCAAAGATTTGCTTAGTTTTTGTTCTATAGAAAGCTTGTAAAATACAAGACTTTGATGAAATAGTGGAGCGCTCTAGCTAAATGCCTTTCAAGATTCAGAGACTTACCTTTGCAACTGTAGATACCAGAAGGATAATTTGCTTTAAGTTCAAAAAAGCACAAGACTCAGATTGTGCAGAAATTGAAGAGCTTGTCTGGAAACAGGGTCTTTGGAGGGTTAGACTAGATGATCTTTACAAGTCCCTTCCAACCCAAATCATTCTACGATTCTATGAAAAGCTTCTTATTCCTGGTTGGTTAGTTGAAGGATTTTCTAAACCTTGGAAACACTGAACATATGACAAATTCAGCTTTTCCATCATATACAAATATGACATACATAGACACGACTACAAAATAAAAACTGCACTTGCCCATGAACACTACAGCTATCATAATATCCTAAAGAATGCTATTATATTATTACTTTATATATTTTTATTGTATAAGTTCTCTTGCAACATGTCATGTTGTTCTAAACACTCCCTGCATTTCCTTAATCTCCTAAAACACATGCAAGTTACGAAGCCCAGAGAGTGTTCTGCAATAACACAACTTGAGATCATCAGAAAGATTAATAGTTCTTACCAAACTTCTGAGTGACTTGTAAAAAAGAAATTTACATTTAGTTGTTGAAAGTACTTCCACTAATATGAAGACATTGGCAAGAAAATTCACTTGTGAGATAAGGATCCTACATAGAAACTGTGAGGATCATCTCAGCGATCCATCTTGCTCTGTATCTTGCTTTAAGTTTGTACTAAATATTAGAGAGGAACGGGAAATCTGCTCTACAGTGTTATGAATCAACTCAGCTCCATGTGAAGGTTCACTTTATCTTCATTTAGTAGCCATCTTATACTATTAAGTAGGAAAGTATTGTTAGTACGGATGTTTTACATGTACAGGCATCTATCTAACGTAGAGATGCTGGCACTTGCTGTCAGCACTTCTTCAGCAGTTTTGATTTAGAATAACTACATTACTAACAAACATAAGAATGATTCATGATGCTTAGAGCTGCTTTTTAGTAAGATAATAAAGTATTTAAATTCAGTGCTGCAAAAAAAATGACTGATGGCATTTTAAAATACCTAAACTATAAAATTTTGAAATAGGAAAAAATTATACCTAATTAAGTTAGTAATTACTGTAAATCTGAAGCTAGGTGGTTCTTTTAAGATAGCAGCTAAGATGCCAGGTGGAGACTGTCAGTGCTTTACTATGTCCACAAGATTTGATAACTGGTCCTTAATGGAGCAGATGGCCATGGCTGCATAGGCAGAGCCAGAAAGGGATTTTGTTCTTTCATCTGTTCAACTCATTTTCACTCTGTTTTCGCCTGCCCTGGCAATGTCAGCCTGCAGCACATCCCTGTACTCTAAGTGCCCATTGATTCCAGACAGGCACTTCAAAACGCAAACATAAGACAGGGACCATCTCGGCAATCCCACGGAAAATGTGAGAAGCCATTTTATCTCTTAGTCTTTGGGGTTTTTTGCCTTTGTCTCTCCTTCTAGATGAATATTTAAGAAATACACAGTGTGACCTCATTTCAAATAATGTGGAAAAGTTAAAAAAACACACTTCTTGCCTCTGGCTACTGTAATGATACACAATAAAAGCTGGGTGAGATTTGCTAGTAGTATTATCTTTCCACTTTTTTCAGCTTTTCAAGCAACACTTTATTGTTAAATGTAACTCTGTTAGAACACCAGAAGAATTTAGACATGTTTTATAGCCAAGATACTTAATTTTATATCGTGGATAGGATATCCCCAGTCCCAAGGAATAAACTGCTGTTGAAAGTAGAACAATTCTGGAACTGCATTTAACAATGGAGCATTACTGATACATTATGGACAAAAATAACAAGGAGGAATAAAAAAAATACAAAACATTAGTTTAAATTGGAAGCCAGTTACAAAGACCTATAGAAAAGCTCTTCTGATTAAAACAGAAATAAATTCCTAAACAGATGTCAACCAAGATGATCACACAGTCACCGAATGGCTGAGGCTGGAAAGGGCCTCTGCAAATCCTCTGGTCCAGTCCCCCGCCCAAGCAGGGCCACCTTGGGCAGGCTGCCCAGGATTGTACGTAACAGACCAACAACTGAGGAGCCTTACAAAGATGTCTTTGTTTATTTATAAGCATAAATTCTGCCTTGCTTTCTGTTATGCAAGCTGAATAATATTTGACTATTTTTATACACACACAGACGTACATATGGAAATATAAAACAAACAGTTCTGCTTAGCTCCTCTGCAGTGATTCTGCAAAAGCAAAGTACACGCTCCATGAAGAAGGCGGCTCAGGAGAAAAAGGATAACTTGATAACTAGTCTACAAATATTTGATGGATAGCTTATCCCAAATGAAAACAAGATACGTACATTACAGGTAAAAAGAAGCTTAAAGACTAAATTTGTAAAGTTACAATGTAGATCAACTACCAGAGGAAACAGTCTTACAACAAATTATTGAATAACAGAATAGTCTCTGGAGAACAATAAACAATCCATTACTTCTATTAAAACAGCACTGGGGAAGTCTAGAAAACAGTTTGCAGAAAACCGTCATCATG